GCAGGTCCAGTGCACTTGTGAACTCAGTGGCTGTGGTCACCTGCACAAGACCTGTACGAGATCAGTCCAGTCAGCATTCCAGCGGGAAGAGCGGAGGGGCACCTGAGCCGCCACCCCTAACTGAGCACTGTTGACATTGAGGCTGCCAGGAGAGGGGAGTCAGTTTCCTTTAGGGGTGTATGGTCCCTGGTAAATCGGTTATGTTCTGATGACTGTCTCACACCTATATGTACATGGGCGGCACAGATTGAACCCAGTGTGCTATTAATAAAAAAAAGAAAAAGGAGGGGGAAAAAAAGGACATGAAATTGGGAGGGAGTGGGGGTATCAAGAAGTTAATTGGGGAGGATGAACCTGACGGAACCACACTGTATGCATGTGTGAAATTCTCAAAGAATAAAACATGCTATATTGAAAATGTAATTCTCACAGGGATCACTCCCTCTTCCCCACCCTGCAGATGCGAATCCGGCTACACCGGGCAGCACTGTGAGAAGACGGACTTCAGTATTCTCTACGTAGTACCAAGTAGGCAGAAGCTCACGCACGTCCTCATCGCAGCCATCATCGGAGCCGTACAGATCGCCATTATAGTCGCGATTGTCATGTGCATAACCAGGTGGGTAATGGCCGTAGAGTGGTGACGTTCAATTGTGCCCTGGAAGGTGTAAATCAGAGCAAACCCTGCAAGCATTCCCCCGTGTAAGGAGCCTTAAGCTGGTCAATTCATCAGCCACAGTTCTAGTGTCTAGTCCACCGGACAGGATTTCTCGTGGGTCTGACTTCTCTCTGTCTTGCTTCTTTAGAATATGTGTAGGAACTCATTCCCAGAGCTAGGGACATACCTGGGCTATCGGCAGAGGAGGTGTGAGAACAGTCCATGTTGTCAAGGAGCTAGGGAGCTTAGAGCTGTGGACTAGGAGCACTGAATTCAGGGACAGTGGTTGAGTCAGAGTTTCTGGAATGCATCCACAGAGGAGCCATGCGGCAATGATTTAAATCTTGCAGAATTGTGTTTTATGGCCTGAGAATATACTTTACCTGTAGTAAGTATAGTAAGAAAGAAAACAGCCATCAACTTTATAGATAACCTTCTCTGACTATATCCGGATTACAGTGGTAAGTAAAAAAAAAAGCTTTGAAATACTGTGCTCCAGCACAGGCTCCAAAGCTACAAAGAAACCCTGTTTCAAAAAAAAAAAAAAAAAAATATTGTGTTAAAAATAAAGCACAGGGGCCAGCGAGAGGGCTGGTGGATTAAGGCTCTTGCCACCAACCCTGATAATCTGAGTTTGATCTCTGGGACCCACACGGTAGAAGAAGAGAACCTCTCGAAGTTGTCCTCTGATGTACACACACACACACACACACACACACACACACACGATAAATGTAAAAAATTAAAAGCATTTATTCTATGTTAAAAGACTTACCTGCAGCGCAGTTGACAGTAAATGGATGTCTTTCAAATGAGTCGGAATGTGTCCGGCCAGACTGGAATTTACAATGGACAGGGAGGCATAGCACATCAGGTGGGTACCGACAAGCTGGTTGGATGGATAGGCCTTCTATCCAAGGCCTGGAAAAAGATCTTCAAGTAGTCCCAGCACCCTGGAGCCAAAATGATAAATCTGGAAATGATGGAAAAACAGTCTCTGAGTAGCTGATATTTTTCATGAAGTTTAGGCACCAAAGTCGGTGTGCTTTATTCCACAGAACAGATGATCTGCCTTTAGGCAAGACTACTGAGCATCAAATTGGGCAGTAGATCAAAGTAGGGACATAATGGCATAACAAACAATGACAACAGAAAAAGAAGATGGGGGAAAAACATTTAACAGCCTAGCCAGCTGTGGCCATTTAATACAGGCTCAGAGGTTAACTACTTTGCCTGTGGCCACTCGGCTAGCACAGGGAAGTGACTGGGTTTGGATCCCATGTTTGTGTGTGTGTGTGCACGTGCGCGTGCGCGCAGAGCAGGTGATTGTTCTGCCATTCCTCTTTCAGCAGAAGGCGTCTAGGTGGCAGGACCCCGGTGAATCCTGCTGGGAATAGGTCAGCCAGATATGACTGCTGCATGGGGGCAGGAACCAAACTTGCTTTGGTTGAGGTTTAGTGTGTTTGAACCATATTAAAGACCATGTGCAGGACTGATTGAACTGGGGGAGGTGGGTGATAAGGGGAGAGCATTTAGGGCATCAGTAGAGGAACACACAGCGTGATAGGGAGAGGAGTAACACTGTCCTGACGTTTGTTCCCTATTAAGGGCACCTTTACTGTAACATATGGAACACAGCCTTCCCCACCCTGTTCCCGAATGGCTCACTGTCTTGTGTGGAATATTGTGATGACATTCTTGGACCACACCTGAATTTTTAAGGCATGCCTCTCCCATGTAGGCCATTAGGAGACAGCTGTTCATCCACAGTGGCTGTTGCTTAGGAGGAATCTTCCTTTTAATGGATGTTCCTAGTGGCCCACTTCTCTGTGAGTCGTGGTTTCTTCTTTTATGCTTTCAGACTCCTAGAATGACAGATTGGCAGGGACTTTGAATGCGTCTCAGCCAAACTCTTTACTGTATAGAAGGAAAAACCTTGGTCCCAGGAACTTGGAGCTCCTCCTGTTCATGGTGGTTTAGTGGCAGTCAGAGCCGGTTACTTGGCCCGTCATTCAGCTCCTTCATTATGAAATGGATGCGATCCCAGCCTTGTCTCCATCAGACTATTTTTATAAGGATTAGTGAGAGAAAATCCTTTGAAACCATCATAAATGTTGTCATTAAGGCTTTTAAGTTAAAGCAAAGCAGTCCTCTTTGAAATTGAATAAAAGCATGAAACAAACTTATTCCCAGGCACTGTTTCCACCAAGGGGCATTGAAATTGCACAGGTGGCTAGGATAGCGGTTACTACTACAGCCAGTAGGATCCAAGGCAAAACACAGCGTTCCCTTCAGCACCTTTGCTCTGCATTAACGCATTCTTTTGTCCTGAGATTTGTTCTACATTAGGGCCACATTCACTGAGATAGAGGACCTGTCCTGGGATCTCTCAGCTGAGGGTCCCCGTTTCCAGTGCGGTTCTGTGGCCTGCTGCAGCTGCTGTACACCAGCTCCTTGTGTTTTCTTGCGCTGGAGGACTTGAGTGCACACCGTCAGAGATTATCAGCGCAGTGCTACTCGGTCTCCAGCGAAACATTTCATGTCATTTTGGTGCCATGATAACACTCAGGGGAAACAGCCAGGTCAACGTCTTTCCTACCGTCACAGTGATTCATCATCGGAACCGAGCAGCTGCTAGGCCAGAGAGGCAGGCGTCCTTCTCAGAAATGTCTATCAGCAGCGTGGGCACCATTCCTAATTCACGAGTGTGATCCCTCCCAACGCCGAGCCATTTAGCAAAGAACAAACAGCCGTTATGTCTGTCCTCATCTTGCCTTGAAATAAACAGTGTCTTGTTTCGTTTCCTAACTCGGTGCAGTGTGTGAACTGGGTATTACTTTGACATTCTTAGCTAAATAATTTTTTTTTTCTTTCTGTGTTTTTGTGCAACAGAAAATGCCCCAAGAACAATAGAGGCCGTCGGCAGAAGCAAAACCTAGGCCATTTTCCTTCAGACACTTCATCCCGGATGGTGTGAACTGACTTTTATATGCACACTGACCATGTGATGTACATTTATTACGTCTTTTTTTAAAGAATGGAAATATTTATTTCAGAGGCCTTATTTTTGGACATTTTTAGTGTAGTACCGTTGGCTCGTATTTAGAGTATTTAGCTACAGCAGTTTTGGACTGTTTAGTAGTCTCCGTTTTATGTTTTTAAATACAGAAATCGGTTTCACGAATTTGTACCACATGGTAATACTAAGAATTGTTCTTTCCCCGTGGAATGTAATATTTTTGCAAAGACGGACGGACCCGCTTCACAATGGCTGTAACGTCAGACTTCTCCAAGGACCACAGCAAACGGCGAAGCATGAACTGAAAGTAAAGATGTTTACAGATCCCTTTTCTTACAGAAAAAAAATCTAGAAGACACTGTGTTTAAATAGATATCTAAATGGTTTTGAGATTTAGTACCTGCTTTTTTTTTAGACACTGCCCCTTATTGCATGAGCTGCAAAGCTGTGTGTGTTTTAGATGTAACATATTTATAAGCTGTACGAACTGGAATCGACGATTTCTCTCTTTGAAGACATAGTTCTGATAATTTGGAAAGATACCTGGGAATTAATGACGGAGCAGCTCATTGAAAATAGATTTAGATATTGTCAGGATAGGCTGTTTAACGAGCAGATTGGAATAAAACCTACTTATCAGTTAAACTACTTTAATCCACATCCACTTTTAAACATGGCATTTGTTTTAATAGAAATACACAAATCGTATCAGTGTTTGTGAATACAATGCAGAAATAATTGTTAATGATTGGTGCTCTGAAAGTGAGCTTCAGAATGACCCAAGACCTCTGATTCAAATTTGTCCTGTAGTAGCTCTATTAATAGATTGTTGCTGTTCAAGGGTCTGAAATGTGAGTAGAATGTGTCGAGGTGTCTAATGTGTAGCTTGGCTAGTCAAAATTATGCATGTAGGATTTAAAGACTATGTTCAAACTTAAATAATAATTTTAATAATTTGATTTGGAAAAGCATGTTATAATATAATGTTTTCACTATATGGTCTGTTTTGTGTGTTTATTTCTTGTATTCTTTGGTACTGGTCTATTAGTACTTGTAATAGGTGAAATGAACAGGAAAGGAAGATTGCAGTCCACATAGTTGTACAAACTATTGCTTGAAATGATCCAAAGAGAAAAATTTTGCTCAGTGTTCCAAGCTGCTTGGCTTGCAGGCTTCTTATGAGTAACACAGTGACTCCAGTGAACTTCAGACAGCTTTCCCTTCCCACCCACACGGTCTTATTTGAGGCTCTTAGTCAGTCAGCAAGCATGTTTGGAACTGGTCCTGGTGCTTTGCACGGGCTCGTGTTGCAGGACGGTCACGGATGGGCATTTGTAGTTATAAATACTTGACCACTCTCCAGGGTGCGGCTTTCAGCCCTTAAAGCGGCTTCGTGTAGCCTGCTACCTAGCCGACTTTTGGCTTCGAGTATAGGAATTGATTGCTATAGGACATCATCTGCTGAGGAAGAAGTAAGATGGAGCACAACGGGTCTGCTTCCAGTGCTGGTAAAATCCACCAGAATCGATTGTCAAGTGTGACTGAAGACGAAGACCAAGACGCCGCTCTTACGATCGTGACTGTGCTGGACAGGGTGGCCACCGTCGTGGACAGTGTGCAGGCCAGCCAGAAGAGAATAGAAGAGAGGCACCGGGCTATGGAGAACGCTATAAAGTCTGTCCAGATTGACCTGCTGAAGCTCTCACAGTCCCACAGCAACACAGGCTACATTGTCAACAAGCTGTTTGAGAAGACCCGGAAAGTCAGCGCTCACATCAGAGACGTGAAGGCCAGGGTGGAGAAGCAGCAGGTCCACGTAACCAAAGTTGAAAGCAAGCAAGAAGAAATAATGAAGAAAAACAAATTCCGCGTGGTAATATTTCAGGTAAGCTTGCACTTGTGTTCAGCTTGATGACTGTAGGTTTCTGGTGTCACGTCTCAGCCACCGTCTGTGGTATGTCGTGGAGCTCGCTGAGTAGCCACCTCAGGGTAGAGCCATTCTTGCTAACCGACACTCTGCCATCCGTGGCCTGTAATGTGAATTGTGGCTTGCGGCTCAAGCTATTTCTTCCCTTTGAAACTTAATTCTGTCAGTTTTTGTTTTGTTTTTTTCTTCAGTATTTGAGTCCTTTTAAGCATAGTGACCCAGCAGACTTCAGAATGCTGGAGCCAAAAGGGTCCTAAGAAATCTCAAGTTAAAAAAAACATCTTTGTTACCTAAAAGAAGAAACTGGGACGGGCAGAGGATGTAGGTCAGTGCCAGTCAAATTGTTTTTGCTTTTTGGTTTTTTTTTTTTTTTGTGTGTGTGTGTTATGTTCCTATCACTGCTCAATACTTTAAAAAATTGGAGCGTACCTGTGGCAACACGCAATGTCTGCAGTACTATTTTGAGCTCTTGTAAATGAAAAGGGACGCATTAAACTCTTTCCCCCTCATTAGGAAAGAATAATGAAGAGAGAAGAGTTTCTACAATACAGAGTAGAAGAGATCAGGGCTCCTTTCTCAGCCGTCTAAACAGTGGCCATCACGGAACCATAAACCCAGAGTGCGAACGTTAGAATGGGCGGCTTTCCCTGTCCCGCTATTGGGATAAGTAGCCGGCACCACATTCTAGAAGGCGTTCTTGATAGTGTATATTATGAACTTTACAAATTCCCAAGTCTTCGGGCCCCCAAATTTCATGCCGGGGAGTTGGTTCTAAGCATAAAATCATTAAGTCATTAATTAAGGTAATTAATGGGAATGTCCATCAGTACATGTGCACAGCGCTATGCTTTTAAAAGCAGAAGTCCGTGGCATAGACCCCTAGAAGAATAAAACACAAAATGAAGTGCAGACACAGTTGGTGGGTCCATAACCTTCCCGTTCTCTGTGCCTTGATCAGGGCTCCAGAGTGCTCTGCTGAGCGGTTGAGTCACGCTGGAAAGGGAGAGTGGTATTTGGGACTTGTTTCGGAGTTCACAGGTTATTGAGGATACTAGAGAGGAGAGAGAGGAGGCGCTTATTTCAAAGATAGAAGAGTGGACCAGTGTCCTTTTCTATCACCCTTCCGGGCCTCTAGAGGCCTTTCTCTGGGCTTAAAAATGTCACCTGCTTCAGGTGTCAATTCCAGTGTCAGAGCAGACAGTGGTGAGCTGGGAATGGAACTGCGGAATAAATCCACTCCCCTTACAGGGGCGTTAGCCCCTACCTGGGTTCTTACCCTTCACTGGCATGTGTTATGTCAGGAAGTACACTTGGAGTCCCTGGGTCTGAGGACCAGGTTTCCCACAGGATTGACAGAAGCCCCAGCAAGGAAACAAAAATTCCAGCTGGTCCCATCCACTGAAGTAATTCTTTCTCTGACTCCCATTTCTCTGTAACTTACTGCTATTTTCTGCTTTTGGATCCTATAGTTTCGTGAAGGAACTGAGCGGCACTAGTTAGTGACAAACCTCTTCTTTTAAGATTCTTGAAGAATCTGTGAAATTTAGTTGTTCAAATTACACAAGAATTTGTCAGAAAAAAAACAGTTGCTATCTTTTATAGGTGTACAGGGAAGATATGAGGTCTCATATTATTGGCATAGATTTTCCTTATATTTCCCCTGGGCATATCTTGTTGATAATCTCTTATATTGATGACAGGGATAAACTTGGTAACAAGGGATAATAATAAAAACAGTATCAGATAAACAAAATATTGGTATCCTACCTTTTGCAGTTGTATATGGCTAAGCTTTTGCCAAATTCTGGATGTTGGCATTTAAAAATGGTGTGACATTCTTACCCAGGTCGTTTCTCTTTGAATACTCGTTCACCCTGGTGACCTCTCTCATGTGTGGCATGAGCCACAGTGTATCTTCTCATAGTTCCAGTAACTTTTTAAAGCACAAGTCTGTGGTTACCTAGTAAGTTTCGGAACATCCTCAAATAAGTCCCAGAGTTCTCTGCATCTAAAATGCCCCATCTGTGTTAATTTCCTATTAATTCAATCTCACTTTACTCTGACCCACAGTTTTTGTTCTGTTGCAAAAACAAATCTTTAGATCAGGTGTGCTGGTACACACCTACAGCCCTTGCATTCATGAGGAGGAAGCAGGGGGATTAGGAATTCAAATACACAGTGAGTTTGAGGCATGCTTGAGCTATGTGAGATCCTGTCTCAAAAACAAAAAAGAAGTTACCTGGATTTTCATATCCAAATGTGGCTGTATTCATATGCCAACTATAATTCACCCCTACGACCTTCCATTGTCAGTAGAGTGTTTACCCTTAGCGCACAGTGGCAAGGATTCATAGGGACTGGGATGGATTTCCAGGCAAGATCTTTTTCTAGCCTTGCCTCTCTCTGTTCACCTTTGTTTTAAAGCCTGATTTTGTACTGTCTGCGGTGTGTCTGAAGAAGAGGGCAAGTGATTCCCATTTCCCTGTGTCTGGTGCCTTCCCTGCAGCATTGTGAGGATCTCTACCTACCAAGCAATACCCTTGGGCTCTTTCCTTGTCTAATCAACCTTCTCAGGCTCGCCCAACCCACATGGTTGCTGGGCTGCTCCCCACAGCAGGTGCAGGAAGGAGAGGAATAACTTCACCGCCTCTAACTGATTCATCAGGAAGTTATGAGACGCCCACTTCTGCTTCTCTCGTGGAGGCTCATGGGCACTTGGATCTTGTAGCCAAAAATGTAATTTAAATTAAGGAAAAAGATTCTAAGGATGCCATCCTGGCTTTCAGGCTGGTTATATTTTAGGGTGTGTGCAAGCATCCTCCTTGTGTATTTACTGCATCTGTTTGTTGAATGGAATCAACGTGGATCTCAAGTATCAATGCTGGTTGTTTTTTTGTTTTGTTTTCTTTCTTTCTTTCTTTCTTTCTTTCTTTCTTTCTTTCGCCTGTTACATTTTAGAAATAATCTCTAAGTAGCACACCAGGTTCCTTTTACCCATACCCTGTGCTGGCTTCTCCACACTTGGCAGAGTTGGTTTTCCTCCTAAACCAGTTTGTTTAGGGTCCTGCTCTCCTGGTGTCCTGTCTTCTTCACTGGCTGGTGGTTCCCTTTTTTGTTTCCTTACTCATGTATAGGTTCAAAATCCCCCAACATTCTAAAATCAAAACCTGAACATTTCCTTCCTTCCTTCCTTCTTCAGTTCTTTCTTCTAGCAGGATTTTACTGTATAGTCCAGGTATTGAACTTGTGATCCTCCTGCTTCAGCCTCCTGAGAACTGGGGGTATAGTTATGGACCACCATGGCAGCAAAATAAAACTTAAAATGACTCATTTGTCAGGAGACTTGTCTTGTCCTGAAGTCATTCTGGGAATAGTATATTATCTATTGTAGTTTCCCAAAGTCAATTTAATTCTGAGTTTTGAGAAACCCTTTTTTCTCCGAGGAATTTTGAATGAAACACCACTCTGTCTTCTGATCGCTTGACTTTGGAGTGTGTGTGTGTGTGTGTGTGTGTGTGTGTGTGTGTGCGCGCGCGCGCACAAGTGTGCTCTATAGCATGTGTATGGAATCCGGAGAACAACTTTTGGGAACTTATTTTCTCCTTCCGAGGGATCTGAACTCAGGTCATCAGGCTTGCTTGATGTACTTTTTACCTACTGAGCCCAAACACTTCCCCTCTGCCTTGCTTTTTTATGTGGGCTTTGGAGGCTGAACTTGGGTTCTCACATGTGGCAAACACTTCAACTGAGCTCTCTAGTGCATGAGTTCCATGACTCTTCATTTCATTGCCGTATTAATGGTTCTTGAGTGCCTGTTTCTGGCCCTTACCTCCCTCCTGAGTCCCAGTTACTCAGCCTCTCTGTCTGCATACCCAGTGCCCATTCCAAAGACAGTGTCCCACCCTTCTTTCCCAGTTCCTTCTCTGGCTTCTGTGCCTGTCTCAGTTAATGGTGGAGTCCTCTCTCTGTTGATCTAGCAACAGGTCCTATGGGTTTGACCTTCAGAGCACCTCTGCAGTTAGAAGACGTCTCGCTCCTTTCCCTGCCCCCCCCCACACCCTCCCTGATCTACCTTCCCTTTGCTTAAGCTCAGTACTGTCCAGTCATGGTTCTTGCTTATCTTACCCCATGGCTTGCTTTCAGCAGGTGACCCTTGTACAGCATACAGCATGGGTCAAATCATGTCTTTGCTGTCCTCAAAACCTTGAGAAGTCTTCCTGTTGGAATAGTAACTCCTGTCCTTACTATTGGCCAGTAGGGCCTCTCCTGACCTGGCCTTCTTAACTCTGTACTTGGGGGAACTTGGGACATTTGAATTGATTTTTGAGGAAAGCTGTCATTTGTGAAGCTAAAAAAGGTCAAGGGGTATTAGAGACAGAAGCAGGCACATATACAAAGGTGGAGGGTGTGAGTGTCTATTTGACACTGAGATACAGCATCCTATCTGCAAATGTATTTAGGTAACATCTATACTTATCCTGGGATTTACATCCAGGGTACCATAGGGTGCACTCCTCTTGTGCAGGGTTCAAAACCTTCTCTGTTTGAGGCCCTCAAGAATGGAGCATGCGTCTGGGCTGGAGAAGAGAGAAAGTAGGATCAGGTCAGAATTTTCTAAGCATTCTGCAAAGGTTCGGGTTCTCTCCTTGAGCACTGACGGGCTCTTGGAAGTCTTCAGTGGGTTATAACCAGACTGTGCTGTAAAAACAGTTCTCGGGAAATTCTCAGATAATGGTCTGCAAGGAGAGGGATTAGAGGGAATTGATGGCCCGAGCTGAGACCTGAGGTCCCGAGGAGCAGAATGAAGACATGAGTGGGGGTGTGAGAAGCAGACATTATTTTGCGGTGTTATTGGTGGGACTTGATGACTAGTTGATCGTGGGAGGAGAGGGCGAGGAGTATTTGGGGGTGATGTTTGAGGTCCCTGCCTTGTGTGACACTCAAGTGGTCACTGGTGCTGGGAGAGAAAGGGAAGGAAGTTCAAGTGGAGAGCATGATGGGTGGCCTTGAGGTTTGCACCTCTCACCGAAAGATGCCTGTGCTGATGGAGAAGCTTGTCATCTCAGGAGTGGGAAAGTGAAGAAACAGTATCTGTGAGACAAAAGCCAACGGAGAGAGACCTTGAGAAATGCAGCCTGGGACAAACAGCATGGAGGAGGGTCATAAGGTGCGGCCAGAGGTGACAGCTGGTGCCTGCCATGCAGGAATCACTCACATGCTTTCTTCTTCTGCCCTTCAGGAGAACGTTCGGTGCCCCTCATCCCTGTCTGTTGTTAAAGACAGAAGCCTGCCTGAGAACCAGGAGGAGGACGAGGAAGTCTTTGATCCCCCGATAGAGCTCTCCTCGGATGAAGAATATTACGTTGAAGAAAGCAGATCCGCCAAGTTTAGGAAGTCAGGCAAGGAGCACATTGATCATATCAAGAAGGCATTTTCCAAAGAGAACATGCAGAAGACGCGGCAGAATTTTGACAAGAAAGTGAGTGGAATTAGAACTAGAATCGTCACACCCGAGAGGAGAGAGAGGCTGCGGCAGTCAGGGGAGCGGCTCAGACAGTCAGGGGAGCGGCTCAGACAGTCAGGGGAGAGACTCAGACAGTCAGGAGAAAGATTTAAGAAATCAATTTCAAATGCTGCCCCCTCAAAGGAGGCTTTCAAGATACGCAGCCTTAGGAAACCAAAGGATCCCAAGGCGGAGAGCCAGGAGGGAGACAGAGGGATGGGTGTGGATATCATCGCTGGTAGCCTGGCGCTGGGGCCCATCCATGAGTTCCACCCTGAGGAGTTCAGTGAGACAGAAAAGGAGGTGGCCAAGGTAGGGTACATTCCCCAAGAAGGAGGGGATCCCCCACCTCCTGAGCCTTTGAAGGTGACTTTTAAACCTCAGGTGAGAGTAGAAGACGATGAATCGCTCCTGTTGGATTTAAAGCAGTCCTCGTAGAGAGGAATTAAGTGTGAGCATCAATCTCAAGTCACGTGGTCATGGTTTGAATCGAGTAGTCATTTTTTAGTCACACACAGTAGAAAGGCAAATGGTACAAAAACTTCATTTCTTACCTTTAAAGTTCTAAAGATTATAAAAACTTTATATACACAGCTTTCTTATAAGTTCCTCGGGAACTTATGATTCTATTTCCCCTGATAATATATATCACTCTGATAGCTTTTTTCCCCCTAGTGTCACACCTTCTTGTGGCAGTTCTTGGCCAGTTAGAACATAGTTGCATGGCTTAGGTGTTTAGATGCTTGGTTATCCGTAACACAGGAGGGGCAAATCTGCTCATCGATCACAAGCAAACTGTAGCTTTGGGTCAGGATTAACAAACAAGTCCAGTCTCAAAGGGGAGTAGCTGATGAACATATTGTGTTATCCAGATGTTCACGTCTGGAGATTCATTAGTGGATTAGTAGCCATACACCTTATGAAGCTCTTCAGTGAAGGAATAAAAAAAAATTGTTTTGGGTGTGAACATTTAGCTGTGGCATCGTAACTTTCTTGCTGGTGAGCTGCTCAGCCGGTTGCCATTCAGTTCCAGTGATGGAAATGGGGAGGCCTTGCTTGTCATGTGCTTCTTGGAGGACTTGAGATCTGAGGGTCTGTCACAGAGTGTGTGAGAGCAAGACACACATTCAGTGGAGAAGCATGAACCACACCGCTGCCTCTAACAGGACTTAACAGGTGCATCTTTGAAGAAGCCCTCAGTACCAGGCACTGAGGCCCAAGCTGAGCAGAAACTGATGTTGTACTTTGCAAGACTTTTCATAGCTTGGAGAGTGAAAAATAAATGTTTGGATGGGCACTTTTCCGTTAAAGACTGAAACCAACCTTGGACTTTTAGTGGGGTCCTAACATATTCCTCAGAAATCCGTGTCTAACTGCCTTTAGATTTGGATGTGGGGTAGACTAGTGCAGGTTCTGTGTGCACAGCATGGGGTGGAAATCTGGGGCTCGGTTGTGGCTTTTTAAAAGTCTGCCCTGATGTAGGCATAGACATGACCTTTAATACTTCCTATTTTCCAGAGTGAACCTTATAGGGCTAGCATGTCCCAAACAGTGCCCTTGAGTATCCCTCACAGCCACTTTGGAGGATACCGGGTCCCACTTAGCTCTAGATCTGTGCAGTTAGGAAGTACATCCCACCACCCGCCACACTTCTGGCACACTGAAGGCTTTGGATCGTTTTTTGATATGGAAGAGATGGTAGGATTTTTGATAAACTTTTTATTGACATCCAGTTTAATTTTGAATAATTGTGTAGTAGTTAGGAATATGCAGGCATGGGAGCTTTTGTCTGCTGCCCAGCACTGACCACACTGAGACAAGAGGGTCACGAGTGGAGTTGATTGAGCCTGGAATATATATATATATATATATATATATATATATATATATATATTCATATGGTTCAGCATAATTTTCTTTTCACTTGGCCTCAATTTTTACCTTACTTCTTTTTTGTTTTGTTTTGTTTTGAGACAGGTTTCTCTGTGTGGCCCTGGCTGGCCTGGAACTCACTCTGGCTGGCCTTAAACTCAGAGATCCACCTGCCTCAGCCTCCTGAGTACGCGTGCCACCACTGCCAGGAATCTTGGTATCTTTTTATATTGCAAACTAAAGCATGGGCAGCATGAAATAAAACTTTGAAAGAATAATTCCAAAAGAAAACATTTTTTATAATAGCTTAGAAGGAGGTTGGGTGCCCAACAATATATTTGAATGTCGAATGATTGTGAGTACAAAGTGTGAGGCCAGTGTTGTGGTTCTAGTGTGGAGAAGTTACAGACGGGGTTTGTGTGACACCAGACACTGGGTGCTTCACGTTGCTGGAGGCTAATCATAACCGTCTGCTTCAGATCGTTACCAGGACCGTTCCTCCATGCCATAAGTGTGTGCCAACGTCTTTCCATGCCTAGGAAATTGCTAAATTCCACGTTCATAATTTATTGTACCTTCACTCTGTTTTATTGGTGCAGAGGTAACGGGCTGCAAAATCCGTGTATTCATTTAACATAAGTATTCTAGCCAGCATTCATTATTTTCAGCGTTTCTGTAAACACCGGGTTATTCATCTGTGATGCTGAGTCACACATAGCAGGCTTTGAATAATTTACTCAAGTCAAACCCTTAGCAGGACTTACCACCCGCCTCCTAGTGCAACAGAGAAGAGCAGCCTCAGATGCCAGGGTTGGGGAGCTGGACTGGAAACTCTTTTAGGGGTGACGGGGGAAGTGCAAAGCTGTCTCCTGCATGTGGTGATCCGGGTGTCCCCATTGAGCAGTGGTTTGGCTCCTGCTTACAGGTTAAAGAAAGTGCTGATGCAGAACATTAGCGTACATGGGCGGTCAGCTTGCCGAGAGTGGACGCCTTCCCCAAAAGCAAGTTTTCATGAATGAAAAGTAGAAGCCAAAATAAAAATGCAACCATTTTGAGTTCATTCTTTGCCTTTCATACACATTAAAAGGGTTGCTTTGGAATAGGTCTGGTGGTCATGGTGATTTTTTTAAATTAAAGATTTACTTATTCATGTCTGTGTGTGAAGGTACACTTACATGTGTGTCGGTCAGGAGAGGCCATTGGTGTCCTCTGACACCTGACTCTGGCTTCCAGTCACCTGCTCTTTGGAGGCAGGGTCTCTCCCTGAAGGTAGTGTTCCCACTCTCTCATCTAGGCCAGAAGCTAGCAGGTTCCGGCGATCTTTCTATCTCCGCTCACCTTTTACAGGTGAACTTCTTTTGTGAGTGCTGGGATTCGAACTCTGGCCCTCACAGTCGCAGAACAAGTAGCTGCTGAGCCATCTCCCCAACCCCTCACTGTGATTCTTACCTGCTAAAGGGCACGGGTCGTGTTCTGCCAAATACTCCTCCGAGCCGTGTTGACTGTGCGTTGGGATGGGATGAAATCACCGGATCCATTTTATTTTTACTCTGGCACAGGTTTTTCTGCAGCTTCTGGTTTTGAACTCTGGTAAGAAAATTTAGTGCTTGGTATCCAAATAGGGGGAAGGACCATCCTCGCGTTTTTATCCTCAATTCTTTCACTTTGGAGTGCCACTGCCAGGTCTGTAGTGAAGGAGTTTCCTGCTCAGGTTTGGGTCACTCTTGTGATTCCTTTGTGTAGGTGATGCCCCAGCACCGCAGCTGCCCCTCCCAGCACCGCAGCTGCCCCTCCCAGCACCGCAGCTGCCCCTCCCAGCACCGCAGCTGCCCCTCCCAGCACCGCAGCTGCCCCTCCCAGCATCACAGCTGCCCCTCCCAGCACCGCAGCTGCCCCTCCCAGCACCGCAGCCGCCCCTCCCAGCACCGCAGCTGCCCCTCCCAGCACTGCAGCTGCCCCTCCCAGCACCGCAGCTGCCCCTCCCAACACTGCAGCTGCCCCTCCCAGCATCACAGCTGCCCCTCCCAGCACCGCAGCTGCCCCTCCCAACACCGCAGCTGCCCCTCCCAGCACCGCAGCTGCCCCTTCCAGCATCCAGCTGCTACCCCCCCAGATCAGCGTTGGCAGCGCTGGGGGATCTAGAACTGCTGCTGCCCAGTTCTAAGTCTCTTAGGACTGCACGGTTTCCTCCCTCACTGCGCTGCCCTCCCTTCAGTATACCCACGCCCTTGAGAAGCAGAACTGCCTGGTGGGCTTACATCCACTGGGCCTCCCGATTCTATTTTTTGTTCAAGGCCAGAGTCCTACTTGCTTCTTGTGTGTTCCAAAGAAAAGCAACTCCTGATTCTTACCACGGATGCTTTTCTTGTGTATTGTTTGACACCTGAAAATTCCAGCTAAAGCAGGGCTTTGTTTAATTGAGACTGCAATAAAATCTACTGTAACCCGCTTACACAGGCCAAGGCCGGCTGCTCGGGTGCACGGCTGTTCAGCCTTAGTTGCTTGAGAGCCTCGTCTCACCGAGGTCCTTTGGTGCTTGTCACCTTGGATCTGAATCACAGCATAATACAGCAGAATGTATTAGGGATTTACGATGCATTTGTAAAACGTATTCTTTCTCTTTGAGTTCTAGCTGATGGAAATGCCATACAAGGTTTCGCAGCACAATGGAGACCAAAGTGGGATCTTTACTACAGGCTTTGTATATGGGCAGGAAACCTCCCAAGTGGAGGGCAGACAACTGACGAATTCTGTTGGTAAAGGTAGCGTGCAGCCATGGCAGGAGATAGGCCTTTGTGTCTCAGTGGGAAACTGCACATTTTAGTGCGGCAGAGGCAAGAAAAGATTTGGATGGGCAGTGATGGCCCACGCCTTTAATCCCAGCACTCAGGAGGCAGAGGCAGAGGCAGAGGCAGGTGGATCTCTGTGAGTTCGAGACCAGCCTGGTGTATAAAAGCTAGCAGGTTCCAAAGCTACAGAGAAACCCTATCTCGAAAAATCAACAAAGAAAAGAAAGAAAGAAAGAAAGAAGAAAGAAAAAGAAAGAAGAAAGAAAACAAGATTTGGAGCAGAAAGTCACATGTCATCAGTTGGCAGTGAGACCTACAGCCGTTGAGAGTAGCTGGAAGGGAAAACGTCCTCTCTGACGCTTTCCCCAGTCCCACAGTGAGGTGGGGAGGCTGGAACTAGGGCACAGAATCCACTATGTATGAAAGTAGGTTTCAGCTTGAAGGTGCAGCCTGAGTTGTTTTCAGATCCTAATATGCAGAGCTAAAAGTATAACTCATGGGGCTGGAGAGATGACTCGGTGAGCAAGAGCTTTTGTTACTCTTGCAGCATTTGGTTCCCAGTACCCACAAGGTGGCTTAGAGCCAACCCAAACTGCATTCCAGTACCATCTTCTCAACTCTGTAGGCACCAAGTGTGTGCACATACAAATATACACACAGGTATCACATGCATACACACACAAACATTCTTAAAGTAACCCAATGAACGTGGCTGTTCCTCCTTCCCGAGGCCTGCTTTGGACACACTGAACTGAAGTGCTGATCTAAAGTGAGGACCAATGGAGGGGGGCTGGCAAATTGGACATTAGAGACCATAGCTTAGAGGCCTGAGATCCAAGATGTGCACTTTTTTTTGTATCCCAAACTGGCCTCAAACTTGTTACCTACGTAGCCAAGAATGACCTTGAGTCTCTGATCTTCCTGTTTCCATCCAGGGCCTCATACCTGCTAGCAAGCACTATACCAATTAAGCTCAAAACCCAACCTGATGTTCTTCTGTACATAGGTGAAGTGGTGTATTTTCGTAAGAAGATTCTGACAGTTTGGAAGGAGGTGTTTTAATAGCTCCCAAAATCCCGACCTGAGTTCTTTCAGGTTATTCTTCTGCATTCTTAATAGGAAGGGCAAAGTGGCTCAGACTCGGGTTCCTCAGCTCCCCCTCCCAAACTCAACTCACTCCAAGAGGAACCTGGCATACTACAGTGTCACAGTGGGTAGGGTTTGCTGAGCTCATGAAGGTATTACTCCTGGCTGGTTTGCCCACTATGTTCTATTGTAAAACAGCCAGGTTTTTAATAATATTGTGGGCCCGTTCACCATTTGTTAGGGTCCCCGCCAGACCTTTCATCAGAGCAAGCCTTCAGCTGTCAAGCTGTGGTGGCACAGATACATCGTTTCAGGGTAAAATCAAGTCCGTTGAAATGAGTGGCGCTCTGTGTTAACACCTTTTGAAGTAGCTACATTTATCTGAAACAGTTCCATAAGGAGGAGAAATAAATTAATGGAATTGGCTTGGTGTATTCTTGGTTCTAGTTCAAAGTGAAAGGGAAGGGTTTTAGGGGAACATTGATGCTCCTGTCAATTGTCAAAGTATAGGACTAAATCTTCTTAAATAGGAAATACCTAAATAAAACCACAGATTGTAAATTCACGAGAGAAATGCATCAGAATATTCTCTGCTTGAAATTCATCTTTTGTACACAGAGAAACCAGCAGTAGTTCAGGAAAATTGGTTTCTAAGGGTAAATTACCCAAGGTTACTCTCCCGTATTTAAAAACAAAATAAAGAACCATGAGCTGGGGCCAGGAGCTATTGCTGGGTAAAAACACTTGCTGCAGCAGCCTGGTGGCCTGATTTTGACCTCTAGGACCTACACACAAAGGCAGGTGTGGTGGTGTGCCTCCGGAACAACAGCACTCCTGTGGGAAGCTGGGAGATAGAGGCAGGAGCTTGGCCCCGTAGCCTGGAGTGTGCAATGCAGCAGCAGCAGCAGCAGCAGCAGCAGCAGCAGCAGCAGCAGCAAGCCAGAGACCCGCCTCAACGAGATGGAAGACAAGAACTCTCCTGGTGCCCCCTGATTGCCATGTGGATGCCACGGCGCATGCACGGCACACATGCATCTCCGCTCACTCAGACACAGACATGAAACCACGGGATGGAGAGATGGCTCAGCTTGCTGCTTCTACAGGGAGCCTGAGTTCAGTTTCTAGCACCCGCTGTAGTGGCTCACAACCACCTGTAAATTCATTTCCAGGGAACCCAACACCCTCGTCTTGAATTCTTCAGCATCAGGAATGCAGCTATGTACACACATATATGCAGGCAAAAATATTATTTAAAAAGTAAAAAGTCAAAACCCCAACTCCCATTGTACTCCTAATATACATTAGAAGATCTTACCTCATTATGTGCATGCGACAATAACAGATGAAAAAAGAGGCCACGAACGAGCAAGGAGGGGGACCTGGGAAGGTTTCGAGGGAGGAAAGGGAAAGGGGAAATGATGTTTTTATATCACAATCTTTTTTTAAAATATTTATTTATTTATTTATTATGTATACAATATTCTGTCTGTGTGTATGTCTGCAGGCCAGAAGAGGACACCAGATCTCATTACGGATGGTTGTGAGCCACCATGTGGTTGCTGGGAATTGAACTCAGGACCTCTGGAAGAGCAGGCAATGCTCTTAACCACTGAGCCATCTCTCCAGCCCCTTTATATCACAATCTTAAAAAATAATTTTCAGTGCGGCTCGACTTAGGCTTTGCTTTGCTCTCCAGGCAGGGAGGGTGGAGGGACGGGAAAATGACTCGGGTCCACGGAGCCTGCCACGCACTTCTGTCAATTGACGGAAACCATAATTGACTGTTTTCTCCGACTTGCCAAAATTTTGTTTAAAAAGGGATGATAATTATTACATAAAAAAGCAGTGACTCCTATGGGATGCAGACATGGGGAGAATGGAAAAGGAAACCACGAATCGTCGTCCTATGGCTAAGTTTACATACAGCAAAACCATAGTTCAGCTGTGGATCAGGGAGCCAGAGCCAGGAGCACTTCCGATGCCACGTCTCTGCGGAGAAGGCTGAGCTGTGCTCCACTATCACTGAGGACAAAAGAGAAATAATTGGATCTCCGGTTCAGGAGGAGGGAGGGGGGAGCGAAGGCTCCCTCTGACACTGCAGCTTAAGGGCTCTTCTGGGGGGGGTGCATTCTGGGTTTGGAGGGAGGGAAGTGAGTTAAGGGCTCAGCTGAATGAAAGCATCCCATGCTTTCTGTTCAGTGCTTCTCAGAGGGCTGCGGTGACTCCCGTAGTCAC